TGAAATGAAATGAGATGAAATGAAATAAATGAAATAAAATAAAATAAAATAAAATAAAATAAAATAAAATAAAATAAAATAAAATAAAACAAAACATACCTGAGATTCTATGACAGGCAAAGTAGGACCGGGAGAAAAATTTTGTTTTGTGTTCAAATCACTTGTAGGATCAAGAAAGTTTGAATCGTTTTCTTTCTTTGTAAGAAATTAGCTATTTGCATAGCTGGAATCATAAAGTAGCAATTTAACATTATTGAACTGAGAAAGTGACAGAAGGCTAAACAGAACAAAACATGAACGAACAACTGGGCTATTTTTATTGCTCCTTTTTAGTACCAGCAAGTGTAGTGATATAAAAACTACCATGAAATCAATTACTTTTATTCTTTTTACAAATTATTTTAATTCTCCTCCCATAATAGGTCTATATGAAATAATTGCTTTGTAATTACCGACATGATTAAATGTTAAATAAATGTAAAATCTTCAGTTTGGCAGCCTTAATATGCCTAGAAGGCTCAGTTTCATTACTTCTTTTTAACTACTTGACAGTATATTGCTTAGTATTTTCACTGCAGACATAGATTTCACCATGCCACGTTAATAAACGTGCCATAAGGAGCCAGTTGCTACAATGGTTCTTGATTATACATTCAGAACTACAGATAGACCCGTGAAAAACCAGACTTGTCCTAGTTGGTACTCAAAGTGCCAATCTGTAGCCTGCTAATACCAATACCAAAGAGTTTTGGATGCTAACCCAGCAAAGCAGTTCCATTAAATTATACTAGATTTGCTTTTGCTTCCAGACCAAATTAAAGTTTAGTTCATAATACTGAAAATAGCTTCTCATCAAGAAAATAGCAAACATGTTCACATCATTTTCAGAATATTTATGGTTTTTCTTTGCTCAGAAAGAGTTCTATACCATCTTTTGTTATATTTTTTAATCCACTAATAATCTTTATTAACTATCTGATATTTTAATGAAATTTTTACTTAAAAAAATAAAATATCCAGTGTCCTTAAGATGGGAGGCTATACTTTTAGCTCTGATCTATTGGTATTTCTCTGAAGAGTCTGACTGCTTAGTATTTGCCAATTAGGAGACTAAGCGCTCTTCAAGCGTTAGACTAAGAAAATGTCAAAAACATATTCCTTCCACATTAAAATGTTCTTTTAAAATGTGGAGACTGATACATGGAAATGTACATATATTTAGCTTTAAAGTTCTTGCTACTCAAGGTTAAAGACAGCCCTGTTCGGGTAAATGACAGTATTTGCCCTTAGACTTGATGGACCTCAAGTATGTTGTATCTCTACTGAATGTCATCTCTTTTAAAGAAGGAAAATAAAGCCATCTGTCCCTGAACTCTGAAAATAAACTTGATGTCAAGTTGCTTCTCTCAATTCTTTTTATATGACTGTTCTAATAAAGGAGTTAAAGAACTTGATTTTTTTTCATCATCGGGAGAGAATGAATATAGTGAAAAGTGTGCCTGCCTATTTAAACCTTCTCTCTGAAAGCTTGGGGCTGCAGTCGTTCTCTGAGAGAGTGTCACAATTGCCAAAAGACAGTGATAGAGAGAGGATACTAACAAAAGGGGCAGTGCCAGACAAAGTGCTTTATGTCCTCACAGCACCCAATGTAGATGTGAATATTCTGATATTACACATGACTTCAGGGCTCAGAGATTAAGTGACCTATCAAAATTCCCACAGCTAATTGGTCAAAGAGCAGAGATTAAATGCCAGTTTGTCGTGTGCTGAAGTCAGAGCCTTTTCTGTGATACTACCTGCTTCAATTGTTTTATTGGATCTCCAGAAAGATTGTGAGTGCATACAGCATTCTCTTAAGTACACACAAGAAAACTAACCTGAAGAGTAAAACCTGGGTTAGCTGGAAGATTAAGGTCAGGGAATTTGCACATTTAATTTTCTGGGTAGCTGAAGGTTTCCTAGAAATCTTTTAGTTTCAATCTTTAGTATCCATTTTCTTGTCTTTGATAAAGGTAGTTGTGCTTTAGGTTTCTTTAAGGCATTTTCCTTTAAACCCTGATAATGAACTCCTATTGGAAATCCTTTTTTTTCCCCCCAAGTGTAAAGTCTTGATTATTAACTTATTTTCTTACAATTTTCCCTTTTCTCCTAGAAGTGCACTCCAGAGGAAAAAATTCCAGTTAATTAGAATTTCTGGTAATCAAGGTTTTTCAATTGTTTTGGTAAATGAAAATCAGGTGAAAGCTACCTCCCTGAATTTGAAATTGCTTCTTATTATAGGTTCTTCTTGATGCCAGCATGTTCCCCTATGTTAGTATGCATTTGAAACTAATGGTCCAATATTCAAAGTGCTCAGATCGTTCATGACCTGGACGCCATAAATCCACCAGAGCACATTAGTGGGATGGTCCTTAATTACACAGTTTAGGCTTTGTGTAATCAAATGGTGCAAAAGAACAGCTGAGAACATTAAAATGCCAGCAGGCATTATAAATCATAACGCTTTCTATAGTCTTTCTTCAATTCACGTGTTTTGTTAAATTGGAAGTAAAAATAGAATGATTTTTGTTGAATATCCATATTGGCATTTATAACCATTAAAACATAAATGATTAACATAACACATATTAAAAGATCATCTTTATTATTTTACCTCCTAGTTTTCTAATAGAAATTGCAGTTATTTTTTTAAAACTTTAACTACAGGAATCATCTTGTTAATGAAATAAAATTAAAGTTATCTCTTAGAAAGGTAGATTACACAAGAAGCCTATTTCTTAAGAAAATACAATTTCAATAAATTGCAGTGCAATCTTTTCCATCTAGGACTAACATCACCTTAAAAGTTTTCTGTAGAGTTTTAGCTTTAAGAGGACACAATTTAAATTGTGGAATGTTCAAATTGTTATAATAGAAAGGAAATCTATTTAAATGGTGGTTTATTACTTCAAATTATATTTAAATGAGGATAATGAAGACCACATTTGAAAACAAGACCAGCAAATGAGAATCAATTTCTTGGAGCATTAAGCAACTTTAAGTAGTAAGCTTTGGCAACTTGGCATAAAATATACAGCTTATTTTTGCTTCAGGGCTTTTAAGTCTCAAAAATCTAACTAGCACCCATGTCAGCCCTCAAGATTAAGAATTATTACCATCAGCATGGCTCGTGATTCAGTACCATTCCAAATGCCCACAGGAGTGACAGAAATCAACCAGAATGGCTTACTGAGCAGCAATTCTGTGTAAGGCCTGAGGGGTCATGGGGTAGGAAACAGGGCATCCTTGCTGAAGGGGAAGGTGTGTGCAAAGCAGTGGTGTCCTGAGTCAATTGTGAGCATTTCTTTCCAAATCCACGTTCAGAAACATTGTGTTAGTCACTTAAAAACTGGTCCTGGTTGGGTGTATTTACACCACAGGAATTGGTGAACACTACAAATCAGAACTTATCTTTTTGGAAAGCTGGCTGTCAAACTTTTACCAGCACACCCTGGATGTAAAGGCACCAAAGCAGCAGAGCTTGAATAGGTACGTGGAATGGGAACTATTTCATTTTGAATGGGATTTAAGGTCTGCCAAGCTAGGAAAAGAAACCAAAATAGAAAGGTTGGATGGTACCTAGATATGGAGGGCCTTTCATGCTTCACTAAGGAGTTTTCTTTCATTTATTATCCTTGTCTAAGACCTAGCAGAAAACAGATGGTGCATTCAAAAAGGAGGTTTTGAAAAGGGAGTTTTGAAAAGGGACCATTTACAGGGCATGGATAAGGTTAAGGTACTGACTCACACCCCTCGGCTAGCTGCTGCAAGAAGCAAAAGCCAACAAGAAGCCAGATGGCAAAGGACCCATTGATGCAGTCCATCTGAGTCTGATTCCCAGAGTACAAAGCAAAGTGGAGAAGGGTAGGGTGGATCTGGAAGGGTATAGAAAATATCCAGCACAATCCCACAGCAAGTGGGTACCACTAAATGTCTTGTAATGGGAACTAGGGAATCATGTCTATAATTCAGAAACACTGATCCATCAGCTGTGTGTAAGACAGACTGGGGAGGGTACATAATGGATGTAGGGAAACCCATTAAGAAGCACTTGCATTAAGCTAAAGAAGAGGCAATGGAACTGCGATCATGGTGGTAAGAACAGAGAAGGGCCATGTTTAGGAAACAATAGAGACTGACAAGTGGAGAGGTAACTATTAGATATACAGCTGACTAGATGTAAAAATGGGGGAGGAAGAGTTAAAAATAATATCAAGGCACTGAGCCTGTTTGACTCTGATGCTAGTGATTGCCAAAGTAAGACAGGGGCATGCAAGAGCAAGACCTCACTTTGAAAGTGGGTTGACTTTCTCCATTTATGTGATTGGGTGGGAAGAGAAAGGTGACAGCACTCTCTACCAGTTCTCTCTCTGCTGGGCCAGTTTGTGGAGGCTTTGTTCCTCTGCACAAGGCTATGGGATACTCTTATACAGCCATAGCTCATTCTGTATCCTAAAAACCAGTGCCTCCCTTTGAGCTTTCTGGGATGTGATTTTTAGGGTGAAAATAGCCAGCAGGCATTTGGAGTTTGGGAGTAAAGTTATAACCAGAGAGAAGTTGGATGTTTGTCTCATAAAGTCTAGTATAGAAGACTTAAGATCTCAAGAGGCATAGAGACAAAATGAAATGAAAGGGCTCAGTGGAGCCAGAGATGTACTACCATAAAACACAGTACAAATGGAAGGTTAACTCTGCATCTTACTGAAAAATAAGTGACTATCTCCACTATCATCTCCTTGATAACTACTTGGTGATAGTGTCTGAATTTAGTTATATGTCAATACAAAGATGGAACTAACACAAATTATTATAAGGGCATGCATTAGCAACTCAGTGTTGAAATGATCTCTGCATTATGAACCATAATGATTGAGATGAGGCAGAAAAGTAGATCTCTCCATGGAGGACAAATCAATAACAACTAGGTTTTATGGTCATTATGCACTAATGAAATTACTTACCATCTAAATCTCTTGGAGGATCTTGAACACTCAACATCCGTCACCTCTTTCATGTTAACACCAGCCAGATGTGGCTGTACATAATGGAGATCATGAACAAAAATATTTCATACATGAAGCATTTGCATTCCAAGCAAGAGGGATTTTTAAAGGCATCCCCAAACTAGTATTAAAAAAAAATTCCATCTGTGGGCAACACAGGTGATGTGCTATCAATTAGCTAGTGCCCTAATCAAGAGTTCATCTATAATGAAAGGGGATTGTATTACAAGGCAAAAATAAGCAATAGAAAGCAGAAAATAAAAGAAGGTAAACTAAATTACGAGACATTATGTGCCATTTTCACATACATTATATCTTTAACCAAGAGTTACACAGAAATGAAGTAGAGACTTTCTTCCTGTGTGCCCTTTAGGAGCCCTTTTGGAGGAATGGGCAAATGAAAGTCTGAGATTTATGATCTCCCCCCCTTTTTTTCTTTTCTAAGCCACACTGGTTTTCTCTGTTCTTCAAACCCATCAAGGTCCTTCAAACCTCTGGGCTTTGGCTTCCAAAGCTCTTCCCTTGCACTCCCTGTGCCTCCATAACTTTCACTCACCCTTGAGATTTTGGATGAAATGTCACTTCTTTACGAAGGACTTCTCTTAGAATCCTCCATGTAATATTCGCTTTTGGCCTTGTGCACTTCTCTTTCACTGAACTTAATACAGCCATACTCCCACAGGTGTTTGTGGATTAATGGATTAATGCTGTTACCTCTATCAGATGGCAAGCCCCACCGTGGGAATGGACCACATTTCATCTGTCTTGCTCACAACTGTATCACCAGCTCACAGAAGACCTGCACAGAGGTGGTGCTGTTGATATTTGCCAAATGACTGAAGTGAGTAACCGTCATGTTCTAAGCACTGTAACAAGCTTTCCCACACATTTTTTTTTTTAATTTTTTTTTTCAACGTTTATTTATTTTTGGGACAGAGAGAGACAGAGCATGAACGGGGGAGGGGCAGAGAGAGAGGGAGACACAGAATCGGAAACAGGCTCCAGGCTCTGAGCCATCAGCCCAGAGCCCGACACGGGGCTCGAACTCACGGACCGCGAGATCGTGACCTGGCTGAAGTCGGACACTTACCCGACTGCGCCACCCAGGCGCCCCTCCCACACATTCTTATAGCAACCCTGTGGATTCATATTATTCCTCCATGGTGTAGATGAGAGAGCTTGGGGGTCAAATAAATTTGAGTCCTCTAACCAAGATCACACAGCCAGTATGTGATAGAGTTGAGATTCATACCCGGGACCATCTCATCTAAGCTCTGTTTTCTTGTGGAATTTCCACAGATGATCACTTAATCATTTTCTGTCTTGTTTCTATTCATTCTCTCTCCCCAGTGAGTCTCAAAACTCACTTGGGATGGAAGTTAACACCATGTACATTTTTTTTTTCATCCCCCACATCACCCTTCTAATAGCACTTGATATTCTACATGCATTTAATGAATACTTTTTGATTAATAACACTTCCTTGGCATTAATATCATAAAAGCATCCCCAAATGAGTTCAACTTTCTGTAATAACCTCTCTAAAATAGTAAGGCAGTACATCTCTGATATAATACAGGTTTATAGTCTACTCGTTTCTACCAAACTGCATAGGAAGTAATTTTGTAAAAAATTTTTAGAAAAAGCAGTATGACAAAGTGAAATAGATATATGGAAATCCCTTTCCTCTTTCATTCATGGACTATTTGCTAAGTGCATTTTCCATGTGCCAAGTGCTCTTCTAGGTGCCAGGGATCCAAGTCTAAGTAAGTCAGAGTCTTTTCCCTCAAGGAGCTGCTGTTGATGGTGTTATTAAAGAGTGAAAATAAATAATCCTAAAGTATATACTTGAAGTGAGGACAAGCAAACGTGTGAAAATCAAGGCCAGTGTGATGAACTCAGCCTGGGGGAAAACCAGAGTGAGTACCTGGTCCTATATACTTTCTAGTTTTAAGGTATTGGGTCAATTCCTTGTCTCAGGGGTTTTTTTTGTTTTTCTCTTTTAAAGTGGGGATAATACCTCCCAGAGTTGCTGTGTACTCTTCTAAGCACACTAAAAACATGCTATTTATTGGCGTACAAGGGTTGCTGGAGGTGACTAGTGAGGTGGTGGTTCTAGCTATCCCCCAGAAGTAAGAGTACAGATATCTTCAGTTACCCCTAAATGCAGTCACCTATCAATTGGGAAACTTTGATTAGGAAGGTTAAACAGGACAGTGAACGTGAGGTTCTTTGTTAAAATTATTATTTCCAGCTCCCAAAGCATTCAAAGAATAATGAGGCAGTTAATGCATACTCTCAACTTTGTCCTTCAAGTGCATATGACAATTTGCTAGCTGTAACAGGGTAGAGGCTAAGTCATAGCAACCTGTCCCTGTTGTCAGCCTACCAGGGGTCTCCTTAAGGGTTACCTGATTTGGCTTGCCTGGTGATTTTTTCTTGCTTTGTGACTAACCCAGCAGCCAAGAGGACTCTTGGTTATGCCGCATTGGGTTCTCATCTTGTCCCAAACAGGAGCCTTGCAGTTTGGTCAAGAAGCAAGAAAGTGATGTTATGTAGATGATGATACCAAAAATCAATAATATCAATGGTAGCAGCATGATTTATCGAGCACTTACAAGATGCTAGCCATTGTTTTAAGAGTTTTACGTGCCCCCAACTTTATCATATAACACTGGATCCCTCAGAGTTGAAGCTTATGGGTCTGTTAGTTCTGGCAATGTCTTGAATTCAGTTCCTCTTTGGAGAATGGTAGCTCTGAACTGAATCTGTTCTTTCTGGTTAGAAAATGTGATTATGTGAATTATGACTTTGGGGCATTGTAATATTTTCAGAGTGAGAAAAGAGAGTGGATACAGAACATAATTTGGAAACAAACAAAAAAGGCTCTAATGTATTCATCTGTCTGCCTTTTCTTCTAAAGCACACAAGCTGATATAAGATTTCTTGAATGTCTGGGCAAATATAAATCTCTCTTGGGGTCTACCACAAAGGTAGACTACTTACGAACTACTGACTTTCCAAACATCTGGTCTGAATCTTGTTGTCTCTTAAAGTCCGTTCACTTGCCTCTGAGTAAGGATCCTTGGAATGCCTACACCATTTAGTCAGAAATGTTAGATTTCAATATAATACCACTCCTACCCATTATTACTGTTTATTTACCTTGGGGTCCAGGAACTGTGCAAAAGGCTATATATGCATGATTTCATGGAATAAGTCCAGTGATTCTGTAAGGCAGGGTCTGTTATTATTTCCATTTTATAGATGAAGATACTGAGGTTCACTGAAATGACTCCAGACCACAGAGCTAAGATGCAGTTTTGGAAGTAATTCCTCTCAATTCTAAGTCCTGTCTAGTTATCCACTCTCTTTGCCCTGCTTTGGGCTATACATCCTATAACACTTATGGTAGTGACTCACATTGTTCTGATGTATCACCTGCATGTCAGAAAGATCCCTTAAAGCAAAACACTCTTTAGAAGCAAATCTTAAATAGTTTTCATTATTGCTAGCAGTTTTAAGCTCTTGTAAAAAATCATTCAATACTTTTCATAAGATTCAGCAATCTGCAAATATCCAAGACAGTAACTTTCCTCAAAATTAATCATTTTACTTCTGTCTTTTTTCCGTGTAACAAAAAGATGCTTTTTGGTTTTCAGAAACCCTCTAAATTCAGACACTGATGATATAACAATACGCAGTGTGATGGTAATGGTTAGGAGAATGCAATCTTTAGGTATTTCGGCTCATTAAAATTTTTTTTAACTTAAATATGACTTTAAAATATGCTGTTAATAACACCAATATAATTTTAAAGAATAATTCAGTGATTGGCTAAATAAAAATACCAAAGTTGACTCAAAACTTAAATAATAAAATAGGGGCACCTGGGTGGCTCAGTTGGTTGAGCATCCAACTTCGGCTCAGGTCATGATCTCACGGTTTGTGAGTTCGAGCCCTGCGTTGGGCTCTATGCTGACAGCTCAGAGCCTGGAGCCTGCTTCGGATTCTGTCTCCTTCTCTCTCTGCCCCTCCCCCACTTGTGCTCTGTCTCTGTGTCTCTCAAAAATAAATAAGTGTGAAAAAAATTAAAAACAAACTTAAATAATAAAATACATCATGTTTTATTTTATAGAAACTCTACTTTAATAATGGAATTACAGACTTTTTAGGGCCAAATGGGCTATGAGAGCTAGTCCAATCCAATCCTTTTGTTTTATAGTTGCAAATAAAGATGAAGAAACACAACCCAGTGCTTTAACAGTGCAGGTTCAGAGGCAGACAGGCCCAAGTTCACATTCTTGCTCTGCCACTTACCAGCTCTGAGACTATCTGTCATCCACAGTCACAGAGCCAGTTCTTGAAAGCACCTTGCCTAGGAAGCAGGACTGCTGTAAACTGAGCATTCAAATAAAAGACTTTTACGTCTAAAGCAGATGCTTATTCATTCATTCATTTGACAAATATTTACTGAGTACACACTACCATGACCTTGGGCAAGTTACTTGTTTTGTGCCTTATTCCTGAGCTGTAAAGTGGGTATCCCCGTTATACAGTTTTTGCAAGGATTAAATGAGTTAATGCATAGAAGGTGCACGGGATGTTCCCGGCACAGTGGAAAGGCACACACAGTGTTGGGTATCATTACTTTTCTCCTACTGTTACTACACTCTGTGTTAGGTAATCTAGTGGGGCTCTGGGGATATAATTCAGGAGCCCTATGTAATATTTTCCTCCTAATTACTAAAGCATCTCTTGTGTATGGAGTGAATCTCTCACTCCATTGTCACTCCTGAGGGTGAAGCTGCTTGTAAGCTTATTTACAAGGGTTCTATTTTGACAGTGCTATCCTTCATGCATGAAGGGAAAAATATCTCACCTGCATTTGCTCATGTACTTTGTGTGTTTTCCTTCAGATGGCTTTGAAGACACTCAAGTTTTTCACCTGGTTTCCCAGGTGAGAAATGATGAGTTTGTGAGTATGTGAGGAGGTTGGCTGGGATTCCAGAGAAAGGTTGTCCCCACAGGACATAGCAGAACTAACTAGTCCTTTGGGAGTGTTAAACTTTACATGCAGTCCTTACTGCACAGAACCATAATGAGCTGGAAGAACAAGCAGAGAAATCCAGTTAATTGCCACTCCAATGTCTTCAATGGTTCTATCATGGTTGGATGAGTTACTATAGATTCCATCAGTGTTCTGGACATGAGCTGAAGTCCTATATAACTATAGCACTCATGGAAATCACAGAATTATGAAGGTGAAAAGGACCTTAAATGGTCATGTAGCTTCTCACAAGAGAACGTTACACTATCCTAGAGAAGTGAGAAGTTACATCTTTAAGAACTTGAGAGAAGGCTCTTTACAAAGCTCATTTTGATGAACAAGTCTTATTATTGAAACAAAAACATACGCTTCTCAGTATGAAATCAAGTATGTCTCCTCTGTTTGTGTGTATGTGTGTGCACATGTGTGTATGTATATACAAAGTTAAAATACCCCTGCCAAACAAAACCAGAAAACCATGCCACTATCACTTTTCTTTTGTAGGCAGAACACCCTCAGTTCTCTTTCATCTTCTGGGCTATCTCATTTTCTTATCCTAGCCATCTTAAGCCTATGAACCTTTCTTCCCAGCTTGTCACAAGTTATTTTTTTTAAGCCTCTAAGGTCAGTTTAAGGTAAGACATTAGAGAGAAAGTCTGATTAGTTCTTAGGTGTCTGGGAAACCCAGCTTAAATTTCCCTGCATGATACATTTTAACTGATACATCCCAGGTCCTTGCTCTCCTTGGTAACCCAAGAGCTAAAG